AAGGACCGTTGTGCATAAAATCAATCTGCTTGCTGCCTATAACATAGAAATTTCCACCACAAGCTCAACTCAAGCAGAACTATGATTATTTAGAAAATTTACTGTCCAGATTCAATTCCCAGATGCTTCTTATTTTTTATAGCATCTATAAAATGCAATCCCATCAATTTGCTAGGGCTCAAGCAGCCAGTATGTTTTGTACTCAGTACAAATTACAACTTACATAGTCATAAGCTATTCCCTCCTTTGAGTGCATGTTTGTGTTTGGATGTGAGGGTGCTGAGAGAGAGAGGGGTTCTGATCGCTACGTGGAAAATGGGGGCATCTGCATCTTTGTGAACTTTCAAATTGTTCATGCCTGCTAAATGCTGGATGGCTCCTGAAACACCAAATGCCATGTATCATTCTGGGGCTACGATTTTTCCAGTTTGACCAACCTGACAACAAAAGCAATCATGAACTCATATTAGGCAGATAAACATGTAAGATAGAGCAGTACAATATGATAACTAATAGCAGAGGAGTCACTGATATGAAGGCCTTTCAAGCCATTTCACATTTTTGGTTCGATTGCGAATGTGGTGAAATTTTCATCCAAACACAAGAAGATATTTTTATGTTTTTCAAACACAATGTGAAGTTTGCCCAAAGAAAAAGAAAAAAAAAATGAAACAATGTGAAGGGAAAAAGCAACTGAGAAGGCAATGTTGTAAGAAGTTCCAGACAGAATAGTATGAAAGAGAAAGTAATGTGCTCAAGCACTCTATGTCAATTGTGTGTTTTGCATAATTGCACTAAAACTCTGCATAATTGACCATTTATTCTATCAAATTTTTTCTATTTCCCCTAGTTTTGCTTGGTTGAAGATAGGTGATATCAAAAACCAGACTTCTTCAAAGCAATCTATTTATAATGATGGTTAACCTAAACGTCACTGGGAACAAATCCAGCATCCACAGCAGCTTGGGTAGCACCAACTGAACAAAAGAGAAAACATCAAAATTACTAATATAATAACTATTATTATTATAAAAACAGAGAGTCGTTATGACTATTTCATATCAATAGGACTTGAGGAAGACAGGAAGTTCTTAAAATCTTTGTACATGAAAACTCACTATTAAGCTCTTTAACACCGGTAGGAATTTAAAAAGATGAAACTTCTCTTCTCCAAAAAAGTAATGACAACTAGACTGGCAAGTACTTTGGAAAGTTCAGTCCTAGGCAATGGAAGTATTATGGATGATCTACCTGCAGAACCAAGTTTTTCCAAAAGCTTCTCTGTTGCTTTAAACTTCTGTGCACTTTTTAATGTACACCCTCCAGTGAACACAATTCGTGCCCTTTCAAGATCAGGACGCCCTCTATGCTTTGATGTAAGCTTTAAATATCTAAATTTACCAATAGAATCTGCAATTATGGCGAATGAACAAAGGTTAACACACCACAGAGACTCTTGATGCACAATTGCCCATTTAATATCTGTCAAATATATCTAACAAATTCTCATTTTCTAACATGATCAAATCCAACTCTCACGAGCTATGGCATAAGAAACATCCAGCAGGAACCATAAGCGGAACCAAATGCGCCCTGTTATGCCTCTCATTGATCAAAGATAAAAACCAAATGGGGTATTGGAGAAATCAAGAGGTCCAAGGTATCTTGCCACTTCCCAAGAAAGGTCCAAGCCGGGGATTGGTCAACTTGGAATTGTAAGTGCATTAAAAATGCAAACAGACCTTCATCAAAGGTTGAGAGATCAACCTGAGAAATATGAGCCCCATTAGGTTTTGGCCACTATAATTTATGTAAAATCTAATCTCTATTATCCAAATAGAGGGTATCTAATAGTTTAAATCTTCAACTTTCATCTCAAATTCTATGCAGGAGATGCACATTTATGCAAAGCATGTACTTATGGTAAACTTGCTAACTAAAGCCCTTGAGAAAATTCAGAATGCATAAATTAAAATGATAATACACACCTCTGTCTTTGCGATGCCAATATGCCTGTTGCCCTGTTGGAGTGAACCACAATAGCAGGAAAATGACGCAAAAGATGCATGATTACCGATATATATATATATATATATATAACCCTTTTATTAATGAAGCCAGTACCTTCAATGCCCACTGGATTCCCTAAGATCCACATCTACAATCCATAAATTAGATAAACAAATTACACATGTCAAGATTCACCTAATAAAAATTTATATTGTTCAATTCTTCCAATTTATTGTGTATTGTACTTTAACTCCATACATACAAACGCTCTATGTGAGCTTATGCGTTTTACTTTGAAATCATAAGTTCTCTTTAGGTGCCAAAACGGAAATTGAACAACTCCTAAGAAGCTAATAAATTGTTCCGACAAACATTCCTCTATAACTAAAGCCCTCAAAGCTAAGATCATACATATCACCCAGGTTTCATTAAAGTTACCATGTTTCTTTAAAGGAACAAAAGGCCATCACGAACCACTTCCCACATGGCATAATCTATGCCTTGCATAAAAACCCTCATCTTATTCTTCCAATAGGAATAATTTGTTCCATTAAAGAGGGGAGGATGAACGGTAGATTGTCTCTCAGAGAACAAGAAAATTGGTGTTGTCATGATCAAAACTCAAAAATGATTTAGGATTTTAAAATCAAAACTTTGGGTTAAGGCTCTTATACCAATTGTTGGCCTAGATAGCAACTCAAAATGGAGGGTCAATTGGGTTTTTAAAAACTTTATGCAATTTTCAAAAACCAAAGCAATAAGCAAGCACAAGTAATTGCAAACAACTAATTTAAAGTGCAAAAATTAAAATTCAAGGGAAAAGAAAGCTCAAACACAAAGATTTATAGTGGTTCGGTTACAATTTGTGTCAGACCACTCCTCAAGCGTGCTTGAGAGTTTGTTTTGGATTTCAAAACTTTCCTCCAACTTTCGAGTGTAGAGACAACCGTTTATAATAGTTTTGTCAGTGCTATCCACCTTCAATAATTTAATCCATTGTTATAATCTCTCTCAAACCCAATCCTATACCACAAGGTTGGTTTTCTCTAGATTTAAGAAGATTACCCAATCACTTTCCGAATAGCTTACGAGTGTTATTGAAACGTTCAATCCCTTAATTACAAATCTCTCAATCTTTCTTATACTTCAAGGATGGATTCTTAAATCTAACAAGGTTTCCCCAAATCTTCTCTCTCCTCAAGGATGAGAGAGAACAAGAAAATGAGAGATTTTACAAAGCAGGAACTCAACCACTCTTGGTTTTTCAACTTGAAAGCTCTATTCTTTGTGCTTCTCCATTCTTTTAAATCTGGTTTTTATAGCTTAAGAATGCTCAATTAGTGTTTTTGACTATTGGAGCTCTTTTTGGAATTAATACATTCCAAATAAGAATATGACTCAACACCAAGGTTGGAACCTGTTTTCAGAGGTCGGAACTTGAGTGATTTCTTGCACAATCTTTCAAAAAACATATTTATCAAGGGTTTCAAACCTTGTCCTAGGGTTGGAAACTCAACTGCAAAATACACTTTTTATTTTTGGCTACCTACAACAAGAAAATATAATCATATAATTAAATGGACTTCCACCAAAAAAGGAAACATATTCAAAACACAATATTTGAAAATTTATTAAAATCAATCAAATGTATATTCTAATTCAAAAGTAAATCAAGTAAATATTCCAATTCACAACTAAGTTAAGTGAATGTTTCAATTCACATTTGGTTTTCAAATCATCAAAATCAAGGATAATAATATCAAAATCAAAAAATAATCATGAGGAATATTTAATTAGAAAGCTATCAGATTGTTGGCAATCTAAATTCTTAAACCTCTTGGGTTGAATCCAACCAGAATACAATGGTTCTTGTGTTGTAAAAGCTTTTTAGGACTTTATTGCTACCGTGAAAGTGTAACTTTCTTGAATCAAGAGAATAGTAGACAGCATTCTTGTTATAGAATCTTGGGAAAGAGATTCTGTTCTCCATTCCATGAGTTGCTGGTATGGCAAAACACGAATAGTGACTGATATAAATTGTATGATTTCCTATATTCCTAACTTCAACCCAAATCATGTCAGCTTCATTTAACTTGAAAAGTCGAACCCGCCTTCCAAGGCTGCTCACAATTACAGACAGAAGCTTCCCATCACATTCTACCAAGTAGCTTTTGTTAAAAGAGCGAGGCTTTTTAGCCTTGTCAAAAAATTTGTATGTTCAGTTTCTTTATAAGACAAATAGCTGTCCGTTTTCATTACAAGTGTAGAAAACCCCATTATAGAATGTCTAATTATTGGGGCCAATAATGGGCATCATTACAACTGTATAAAGACCATGCCATTCTCCTTCCTCCAAGAAGATGTCAATGGAATCATAACTGTGATTGCAGACAATCAAAACAACCCAATCAATAGAAGATGAGAAACTAACACAACAAATTGGTAAACCTTCATGGGGCAGTTTTGGGAGCTGAATGGTTTTCCCTAAAAATGGATTTAAGAGAAATACTGTCATCCTTTCTTGTATCATTAGACACTAATCTTCCCTTGAATAGCCCCTCGTGACATGTTTCAGTTGGTTATTAGGGATTTCCATGGGATATTTTTCCCCCCACAGATCAATGTAGCTGCAAATACTGTCACCCTTTCTACAAAACTAGCAATGTGGGTAAAGAATTATAACTTTCTGAACCTTCTAAGGCTGCACTTGTCCATGGGATTGGAGGGGCTTCCAATCGAAACCTTTTATTGACACTCCGAAGGTTCATGTAGTCATGTAGCTTAAGGCACTTTCCAATTGCAAATAGCATGTCTAAAGGAAGCTTTCCAAAACCTCCTTCTAATTGTTCAAGCCCAGCATGCTTTACAATTTCTCTTTTTTTCATCACATTACGTTCTATATGAAAATGGAAGTTACCCTTGCTTTGTCTTAGGATATAGCTTAGACTAATAGAAAAGCAAAGTTAACAGAATTAGTATATATCAAACAAGAGAAAAGTGAAAATTATGATGTCTTAGTATTTAATATGCATACCAGGACTTTGTAGGGACTCCTGGCTTTTTAATTACCAGGATGTCCTTATTTTCAGCAATTTCATCAAAAAGTTATATCATATATAGCAATTATACATGTATGTAAACTTAAAATGCTGTCATGTGAAAAGTAAGCTAGCTAGCATACCTCAAGTCTTACATAGTCCAAATGCGCGAATACCATGAGATTGGCAGTTGAGAACAAGCCAAAGAAACTAAAGGAGTTTTGTCATCCATGTTGAATGAGTAGATGCTTTTATGCCCCTCTAATGTGAAATAGGCATGGTTGCCTTTAATTTCTGGCACAGAAGTTGCTTGGCAAGAGAAGGAAGATATGTCGCTCAGAAAGAATCTCGGTTCTTGATACTTTCAACTTAATTTGTTCCATTCCATGGCCGAAGAATCCAGTCTGAAAATCTCCACAAAAATTACTCGTGTACATTATGCTTCTTCAACGAAATAAAGAACAAAGAGTTCACCACATGATTCTACCATGTATTCACTAACATATACTGAATTTTCTTGGGGTCTTGGTAAATGACTCATCAAAAAAAAAACCAGTGGAAGACTGTAGCCTGGCATGCTGAGTTCAATCTTTATTGGCTCTTATTAAGGTTTAAAGCATGGAAAGACAAGATGAGGAAATTGGAGGAAAGAGAGTTACATGTGATAGCCATAATCTGTGGTGTCTACCCTAGATTATTACATTAAAATAAAGAAATAAATTATTACTTTAAAATACATAAATATAATCTACCTATAATCAAATATATTATTTGATCAATCAATCATTAATATGATTGAATCTCCTAATTCCTTAACAACTTTGACATCATAAAAGTATGACAATATAATATTGTGTTGTAGATGACAGGATTCGTCAGATACTCATCCTTATTCGTCCTAAAGTGCAAGCTGATATTTTGGTGGTTCCATGGTTTAGCCCAATCCCAATACTACAAGAGATGAATGAACTGTTCTTTCAAATAATGTAAGCATATTTCCAGGGTTATTAGGAGGCGAGGATAATATGCAGAGGCTGATTTCTTTTTTAGCAATTAGCACTTAATCTAACAGGAGGTAAGCATATGGACTCCATAGTCAGAGCATTCTGAAACGAGTTTAAAAACATTTTAACCATCAAAACCAAAAGATCGAGGAAAAAAAAAAATCAAGTCCCCTATTAATTGTGGAGGTCTACCGTCTCTGTTTAGGCCTATAAACAACACTTTATTTAAGAAGCAAATTAGTGTATGTCCACTCATTTAATATTATTATTTAATTTAAATCATATTGTCTCATAAAAAATATATAAATCATATTGCAAAAATTATTGGACTAAAAAACAATCTACACATAGTATTGTTGTTTGCTAAAAAAAAGAAGGCAAATCATGCAAATAGACCCTTAAATTTGTCAAGCAGTGGCAAATGAGCCCCTCAACCTAAATCAGTGACAAACAACCCCTTAAACTAGACAACAGTGGCAAAAAAGCCCTTATTTGACTAATGACGTCATTAATCCGTCAAAAACTAACGGTCCTCTGGTTGTGTGGGATTCATTGTTGAGCTGGAGGCCATGTGGCCTTTATTAAGTGTGACATGGCATGTTATACCTACTTAATATGTAAATTAAATAAATTAAAATAATTAAAAATAAACTAAAATTAATTGAAAAGATAAAAATGTCCTAAACTCTACCATGTTCATCTTCCCTTTCTCTCTTCACTTCCTTTCTCTTCTTCCTCTCTCTCTTTTAGCCCTTAGCGGCTTTTTGTTGCATTAGATCACATACTTTCTATGTTGAATCCGAAGAAGATGAACCCTTCAGTCCCTCCCAAGATTTACTATCCCTAATCACCTCCCTATAACAAGGGCTCCGCCATCAAAATATTCGTCGGGTCTTTTTCTAAGTTTAACAACCACAGATACCAACAGAGCTATAGGAGCTACCACCATGGAAGACTACAGATCTGCTAGTTATTCTTCCTCTTCTTCTAATTTGTTGAAAGATGAGGAGGATGTTATAAGGCATTTGTTGGAACCCTTTGATGAAATGCCCATGGGGTTTCGACAAGGAGGTTGGGGTAGTCGAGTTGGGTGGGCGCAGTGGAGAAGATTTGAATGGCGGTGGAGATGGATTACCGGCATGGTCTGATGGGTTGTGGGAGCTTGAAGATGAAGCTGTAAATTAATAAAGGGAATGCAAATTCATTCCTCAAATTTAGAATCTTGTCTTATCTATTAAAATTAATGTAAATAGAATTTCAAATCCAATGATTCTTTCTTCTATATTTATACACATCAATGATTTAGGAAGAAAAATTATTTAGGAAAACACATCAACGAAAATACAAACTATCTGTTCTTTTTTTCTGAAAAAAAAAAAAAAGTTTCATACCTTCATATAGTTGTTGGCGGCTAGGTCTTGTCGCCGAACTACTGCCTCCTATGATCGTTGCTTCTAGTTTTTTATTTTCAATATTATTGTTTATTACTATTATTATTAATTTAATTAGACTTTTTATATACTCATACAATAATAAAAATGATTCAAAAATAATTTTTTTATAATTTTTTAATATAAATTTATATATTATTTAAAAAATTAATTAATTTTATTTATTTAAAACTAATA